GAGTCTGTCGCGAATATTGGAGCACCAACAATTAGACGTAGATCAACTTCAACGGTTGTATCGAAAGGAATTATATATATATTTGGTGGGCGAGCTGAAATAGATACGGGCTCACCCACATTTACTTGCTTTAACGATCTATACACTTATGACACTATTTTGTCAAGGTGGAATAAGATCAATGCCAATAATGTTCCTACACCTCGAAGTCATAGCGCAGCAGTGTTACTTCCAGATGGTAGGATCCTTTACATCGGTGGTGTCAGTCAGACTGCTCCTGGAGAAGAGGCAACACCAATAGATATGAGATATGTAAGTTATTTTTGTGTCAAATTTTCGGATATACTAAGTATTTTATTTTTGGGACAATTTTTAACTTTATATGTCAACAAAAATTTATTTATAAACTCTTATTACAGATCCCAGTATTTGATACAAATTCTTCAACCTGGTCGTCTGAAGTACTATTTGTTTTTTTTTATCCTTTTTTTTTTTAATAGCTAATTATTGCATTGTTTTTTCTAACAATATAATGATTATATATTTATAGCAAGCAGAATTTGAGTCAACTCTTATTCAACCTCGAGCAGGCCATTCAGCCAATCTGGCGGCAGACAATACATCAATTATCATAATTGGCGGGACTTCAAGTGAATTATCAATAAAAAAATTTTTTAAATAAATTTTATATTTATCATACTAATTATTTCTTTATTTGTAGGTTATGTACGGAATGAAACCACTGCAAAACCAGTTATGGTTTTGTTAGATATTTCAAAAAAGCCTTTTACATATTCTGAACTAAATGTCCCGGGCGCTTCGGGTGCCAAGGCACCACCATTAGCCTATCATTCCGTAATTTCTTATCAAAATTATATGATAGTTGCGTTTGGTAATTATCAAACTAAAATCAATATTATTTGTTAAATGTATATATTTATTTATTATAAATATAATTAATATTCGTCTTTTTCTTAAAAAGGGAATATTACTAATGATGGGAGTTCATCGGTCGAGACAAA